TTGTTTCTGTAAGGCCCACGCTTCATTGTTCAGTCATTTTATAATTTAGAGACTTCTCACAAGTAAAATCACTCTTTTTTTAACAAAACAACTTTAGATGCCATCACCCTCCTTGGGTCAGTTTTCGGACCTCACGTGCAGTGGCCTTTTATCCTGCCCTGGCCTCCCAGCTCTGCTTGGATGCATGCTTTCCAAACTTGGGGGTGGCGGGGTGTTGCGTGTCTCTGGGCTCTCTATCAGGTTCTCTCCAGGGTTACCAGCTAGCAGGTAGGCAGCTGCGCGTCCCAGCTTCTGCTGGGGACCCTGTTAGCAAAGGCAGAGTGGCCCTGCATGGGGCTGGCGGGTGTTCCCAGTGGGAAACGTGTTTGGGGGTGTGGGGGGCAGAGCAGGCTTTGCTTGTGCAGTTAGCCCCTCTTGGGTCAGCAGGCTGGCTCAGCCAGGTCTTGCCAGCTTGCCTCCCCAGCAAGATGGGTGTCTCCTGCTCAGCCCCTCCCAGACCTGTTAGGGGGTGATAAAAAACAGAGATGGAGATAGAAAATTTGTCCTGTGGGCAAGGGGATTGTTGCAAAGCTTTCCGTGTCTCCGTCCTGGGTGAAATAAGGCATTGCATGAGTATGTGTGTGCATCTGCGTATGCGTGAGTGCACGTGTGTGCCCCTGTGTGTGTGCGTGTGTGGGGGTGTACAAATGCCCCCATCGAGTGCCTGCCTACACACACACACACACACACACACACACACCATGAAGGCCAGAGCTAGTGAGGTGCTGAGCACCCCGGGGGGGGTTTGCCTTTTCTGCATAGTAACCTGCTGATAGGTAGGGGCTCGTGGGAGCAGCCAACAATGTGCTCTGCACCCCGTCTCCTTCCAGGGTTGGCCTGTGGATGAACCCAGTCATCCAACATCAGCAAGTCCACCCCCTGCGTCAGCCAGCCCTTACCATGTCTGCCTTGATCAAGGGTGGCCTTCTGTGGCAGGGCCCCCCTGCTTCTTATCCCTCGGGTGCTCCCCTTCCCCCATACACATCCCCTGTCCCTGCAGCCCTCAGCTCAACCTCAGGCCCCTCAGCATGGCATGCTAGATCTGTTCTAAGTGGGTTACAGACATTCCTAAATTGTTTAGACATTGCCCAAAAGGCAATAGTCGCGGCTCAGGGACCCCAAGAGAGCAGAGGCTGGTCTGGAGAGACAAGGAACCAGGATGCTCATCTGGCAGAGCCTGTGACCCAGTGTCTGCATTGTGAAGAACATGTTTCTTGCTGTCCTGGACCACCTTGCTACCCCTCAAATATCCCCACTGCCCCAGAACCTCCACCAGAACCCACCTCATCCGCACAACTTGGTTTTATGGGAAGAGAGCTGCTGCGGCCCCTGGGACTCAAAGGATGCAGGGTGGAGACAGCAGTCACAGCATTCTGGTACAGCCATGGCTCGGGGCCCTGGGCAGCTGTTGCTACCTCTCCCCCAGCCCCCCCTCACCTCCACCAGGTGGACTCAGGCATGACAGATATCCAGCTGTGTTACTCCGGTTTGTGGCTATGTATGCCTTCCTGGCTGAGAACTTGTGGCATGCAGGACTTCCTCTCCTGTGTCTTTGCACCCCATGACCTGGTCCAATGCGCCCCCTGCCCCCAGAGGAAGAAACCTGTCAGCACCCTACTCAGGTGAGGAGCATGATCAGCACCCCGCTGAGGGAAGGAGCCTGGTCAGCACCCCTCCCCAAGAGGAGGAGCCTAGTCAGTGCCCCACCCCAAGGGGAGGAGCCTAGTAAGTTCCTCACCCAGGGGGAGGGGCCTAGTCAGTGCCCCACCCCAAGAGGAGGAGCCTAGTCAGTGTCCCACCCCCCAAGGGGAGGAGCCTAGTCAATTCCCTACCCCCCAGGGGAGGAGTCTGGTCTGTACCCCTGCAAGAGAGCACAGCTAATCAGCAGAACAGCAGTACCTGGGGTGATGACCTGTAAGTCTGTCCTCTCAATCTGCTTGCAAAGTTTAATATTGCTTAAATTTGTAGAATGATAATAATTTGGGCTCCTTCACTCCTGTCAATGGACATTCCTGGCACTATTTCTGAGGAGCTCAATTCAACCTCTGTCTCAGGTTGCTAACTGAGCCTCTAGCCCTAGCTTTCTGGCTGGCCCCCATGGAGCACCAGTACACAGGTGAAATCTTTTGCTACTTGGGAAATGGGCCACCATCACACACTCACCACCCCTCTTCATTCATTCACTTATTTATTCACTTAGTCATCATGCCTGTTAAAAGTATGCATCACGTTCTTACTATGTCCCGGGTGCTGAGTCAGCCCCGCTGGTAGGTATATCCAGCAGCAGCATTTTAATAACTCAAGGACAAACCACCATTCCTTGCCTGCCCTGGGGGAGCACGGCCATCTTCTGCCCTACTTTTTTCATCCAGGGGCATAGAGGGAGACTGACTTTCATTTGCTTATGTAACTACTGGACATGACTCAGAGTCAGGGCTTCTGAGTACAGTTGCTCAGGCTGCGTACAGCCCAACTTCTGGGTAGCTGTGCCATGAGCAAGTCTTACCTCTCTCCAAAATTAGTTTCCAGGTGTCCTTGCTCAGCTCACTAGCTGTGTGGCTTGTTTAGCTTCCACTGAGTTGTGCTACAACTCCAGCTTCAAGAGAGCTGGTGCAGCTGCTACACCAGGAAGCTGTTCCTGGGCTGGAACCTTCCCCCATTTAATCCTGGCAAGACTCACGGCCTCTTCAGTGGAGAGGACTTCGTTTTTCCTTGGGTCTTCCCAGTGAACTTGTTAAGGGGAAGGATGTCCTAAAGGATCTCCGCAGAGTCTTGTGGACTCCACCCCCTACTCCAGCTCTCTCACCCTACCCCCTACTCCATTGTTTGGAAACTACAACTCCCAGCAGTACCAGGGAGAGAATTGCGAGGACCCAAGGGCGGAGCTAGAAGGAATTCTGGGACATTGGGAGATAAATAGGACGTGATTGCATCTCGCGCGCCCTCTCTTGCTCGGGAAGCAGCTCTCCTGATCGCGTGACTCGGTGTGTTCAGTCAGCCTAGCCTTAAGGTATTCCAGTTACTTTGTATCCTGCTCTCTTTCCCTGGGCTGTTTTCTATTCCTTTCCCCTTTTGTAAATAAACCCGTTATTGACCCTTTTGTGTGCACCTGCAGTATAACTGAATTGTGAGCGGGCGGGTGAGGCCCCACAGACAGGCGGTCCAGTCCACTCTGGGCTTCCCTGTAACAAACTTAGCACCCAAGGTGCATACCCTGCTTTTCAGGGGAGAATCAGTCTACTACCTACAACCCCCACACTTTGACTTGTCCTAGCATCATTCACGAGGCAAGCAGGTGAGCCCAGAGGCTGGCCCTCCAGGATCTGCTGAATTCCTTGGCTCAAGCTAAAGACCAGTTGTACCACATGTGTGTTAGTGTCTGGACCAGCTGGGAGATACCCTTTTGCCCCAGCTACTCAATAATATCAAGTGCATCCATCTGGAAAACTAGACTACCAATGAGCACAGCAAGCAAACAACACAAGAGACCCACATGGACAACCAGGCGCTTCCATGGGGTGCTCCCCTCTTGCCCACTCCCCCCTGGGCCCAGACCCTAATTGCCACCATCAGTTCCAGCTGTGCCATCACTGACACAAACACACTGAGGCTCCTGCTCTGCTCCAGTGAACGCATATCACATTCTCGCTTGTTCATTCCCGGATGGGATGACTTGACTTCGCTGCAGGAAGTTCTAAGCCAAGTAGCAGGCAAGCCCAGGATCTTTGGGTTCCTGGCAAGCCCAGGTGGGTCTTTGGATTTTAGAGACATCTCTTCCTCTGAAGGGCTGGCACCTCCCTTTCCTGGCCCATTTTTTATCTGCACCACTAGCCTTGCCATACGCCCAGGATAGGACGAATCGGTGGTCCCTCTGCCAAAATGTGGGTGCTCGGGGGCCCACAGCTCAGCCCTGACAGCAGAGGAGTAGAGGGAGGGAATCTGAGATTGTTGGTGTGGGCCAGGGTCAGACAAGGACTGCCAGAAACACATTCCAGCCCGTGAGCTCTTGCAAGTTCAAGTCCAGGAGGCCGTGGGCAGGGTCCTGGCTGCTTGGCAGCCAATCTGGCTTCCTGGTGGGAGCACACATTGCCTTTGAACTTAAAAAGCCATTTCTCCTTTCTGGGGTGTGTGTGTGCACACACATGTGTGGGTATGTACCAGCACATGCACGAGAGCTGTTGTGTCTGGCACACACCTGGGCGTCCATGTGGGTACATTTCGAGACTGGAATGTGCTTCAGCATTTCTGTGTGACTTGTACCATGTGTGATGATGTGGACGTGGTAGATGAGAAGCAGTTTCCAGTTTCCCCACGTGGTACCCATCAGCGAGTCCTTGTGCTGTAGGTGTCGGGCCCATGAGGAAAACCTGGGGGTGTAACTGTATACCGATAACACCTAATAATTAGGTGGTAGATCGCCAGGATGCTGTTATCCACCTCGGCTGCTATCCCTCGGGGATGGGGCTGTTCCTGCACACAAGAATGGAGTGTGCTGATCTCTCCATGCATTTTCACCATGTTCCTCTGTGCACCCGTCAGCTGTGGGTGCAGGACACACCCCTCAAACAGGAACAGGTCATGCAGTGATGGAGCCTGGAGCCTTGGCAACATTAGCTCTGAGACCTTGCAGTCAAGCAAGGTTGATGCATGCCACCTGCTGCTTGCTTATTGCTGTCTTAACTCTTTGCACCTGCTTCATTCATTCACCCCGCCCCCTGCTTACTAAGTGGCTACTTCCTGCAGGTGTGGCTGCTCCAGTGAGCACGGGGAGGGGGTGGGGGTTGGGGCAGGTGAGGTTATCACCATTTGGAGCAGTTTGTTCAGACGAGAATGGAACTCAGCATTCTACTCTGACGGCTCCGTGCTCGCTCAGGGAGCACCTAGCGTTGGTGCTCTGGAGGGGACCACAGGCTTCCCAGGGTGAGCCCTAGCCGCTCTGAGCAGCCACTGCTCTCCCCCAGAGTGGCGGCAAGGCAGCGGGGCAAGGATGATCCTGCAGGACGAAGACATCACCACCAAGATCGAGAACGACTGGAAGAGACTGAACACGCTGGCCCATTACCAGGTGAGGTGGATGTGGGAGAGAGAGGGCTGGCTAACTGGGCGGCCCGCTCCCCGGAAGTCTCAGTCCTGTTACTCGGAGGCTGGACGCCAAGTTCTCAGTCCATTTCACATGTGCTCAGCCTGGAGACCTGGAGCTCCCTGGAGAGAGGATACTCATAGGCCTACTGCCTGTAAGATGAGGGTGCAGTCCCCGTGAAAGGGCCCGTTCTTGGGAGATCCTGAAGCAGCAGGCTGGGTGCCCCCCCGGGGTGTCAGGTGGCTGGTGAAGACTGACAGTGGATCACACACAACACCGTTCCGAGTGCTGATCTGTCTTGCTTGATTCTCGGAAAAGCCAGCAGCATCCAGTGGCCCCTAGTTTTCCGGGGAGACGTGGGTTTTCCCATTAGGACCAAGTTCATCACACTTTGTCCTTCTTTCTGGGTGGCGGAGTTCCTGTGCGCAGGCCCTCACACGTGCTTTCCCGGTAGGTACCAGATGGTTCCGTGGTGGCCTTAGTGTCCAAGCAGGTGACCGCATACAATGCAGTGAACAACTCCACCGTCTCCAGGACCTCAGTGAGCAAATATGGTGAGTTCACGGGATCGTGCTGGGGAGGGAGCAGCACTGGGGCCCCTGTACCCCAGGAGCTTGGCCGTAGAGCAGGCTGACCCCTGGGGAAGAGGCTCCTAGGTCCAGCCGGGGATACTGAAGCCGACGGAAACCTTCACCCCAGAACAAGAGGAAAGTCTCACCTTCATGAAAGTCCCCCCGGGCTCTAAGATGCTTCATTTCTGGGAGCCCCATTATCACACGTGTTGGTAACAGTCCCACAAATTAAATAATTATTATTTCCTCCTATTATGCAGATTAGCCTATTACAGCTCCTGCAGGGAAGCTAAATGACCTGTAAAGGTCACGCTGTTATGAAGCAGCTGAAAGGAGGCACAGACCCAGGTCTCTGGCTCTCGGGGGCAGGGAGGTGGTGCTGGGTAGGGCTGGAGCCCTGGGTGGGGCGGCGGGCAGGACAGCAGCCTGTTTCGCCACCATCTGTGGCTGCACTGCCTGGCCCCAGGAGACCTGTCTTTTTACCAACCAAAGAGCAACTGAAAAGGTACCAGCTTCCCAGGATCATTCTGGATTAAAAAATGAAAGATTGGTGATGGGAAGCCCACAGGGATTACAACTGAGATGGAAAAAGGCACAAAATCATGTAAAGATAATTATTTTATTTAAAAAATGGACAAAGTGAAACTAATAAAGAAAGAAAACCTAGAAAGATACCCACACCCCACAGGCTAGGGCCTTCATCTTCCCGCCCTACTCAGCAGCCAGCCCCCCCACACCTCACCTTTCAGCAAATGGGAAAAGTTGGCCCCGACCGGAAGTGGGGTGGCAGAGGCATGAGGACTTGGCCAGTGGCTGGCTGGTCCACAGGCAGGAAGGGACAGGTCACCTGCTCTGACCTTTGCACTTTCCTGTCTACACAGAACATGTCCCGAGACGTGACTTGAGCACGTGCACAGGGAAAAGTATAAAAAAGGGCAAGCTTGTATTTTCTAAAAATCAAGTCATAAAGAGCTGGGGAGATGCCAGTACTGGAGGAGAGCAGGAGGGTGGACGGAGTTGGCAGGGTTCCCAGAGGCAGTGGGAAAAGCTCCCCATTTCCAGGAAGGGACTGAGTCGAGGGTGGTGACAGTCCCGGCCAATGCAGGGGGACGAGCCGGCAGCCAGCCCTGGCCAGAGCGGGGCGTGCTGTGAGCTGGGGGCTGGGGGCTGAGCAGACCCCCACATGCGGGCTCATCACCTTGGCAGAGAACATGATCCGGTACACGGGCAGCCCCGACAGCCTCCGCTCCCGCACGCCCATGATCACCCCCGATCTGGAGAGCGGAGTTAAGGTGTGGCACCTGGTGAAGAACCATGAGCATGGTGACCAGAAGGAGGGCGACCGGGGGAGCAAGATGGTGTCTGAAATCTACCTAACACGCCTGCTGGCCACTAAGGTACTGGACTTCTTGGGGCGGGGTACATCTGGTGTGGAGCGGGGTACCCCAGCAAGCAGAAGCCCGGGCTAGTGAGTTGCTAGCAAGGGTCTAGTGACCCCCCCCCCACATGACCCATTAGGACCGGCACTGCTGAGCAACTCAGGCCTCTCTGCCAGCACAGAACCCCAGAATCCTCTCAACCTGGTGCACCGTGTTGATGTGGGGCATGATGTTCTGTTTCCCCCCTCCTCTGTGTTTTTCTCAAATGTACAGACACTATCTGCAGCCACTCACTGGCTCCACCAGGCCTTGAGAAAGAGCAGCTCCTTCTCCAGGGATGGAATCAGGGGCTCCAGGTCTCACCTGGGTCTGGGGACGTGGGTGCCTGTGGTGAATCCTCCACAGAGCCCGGCCTGGGCCTGCCCTGACTGTCCTCCCTTAGCCTTAGCTGGCAACTGGTGCCAAAGCGCCCAGCAGATTGTGCTTGTGGGCTCTGACCGAGTGAGTCGTTCATTAGCATCTGTGAAAAGTGCTAAAATCACACCGCCAAAGGGTGTTAAAGCAAATCCGCTGGCAGAGGCTGGCTCACTTAGGTCCAGTCCTCTGCGTTCCATCTATTTTCCATGTGCAGAGATCTAAAGCTGTTAGAGACAGATGAAGGGGGTGGGAAGGACTAACCCATGCAGTTATCCCGCTTCACCCAGCAGGCTGGGCATCCCGCCTTTCCTCTGCAACCCCAGCAGGCGAAGCAATTTTTTTTTTTTAAAGATTTATTTATGTATGCTTACAGAACTGGGGTACAGGCCAGAGATGCTAGGGGCGGTGAGAGGATTCACCAGACACAGAGTGGGGAGCAGAACAGGCAGATGGACTGAAACACACTGCTGAGGAGAGCAGCGGGCGGGTCAGGAGAGGTCTGCCGCGCCCTGTGGGTCAGCTCCTGGCCGGGGATCGAACGCGTGCTGCAGTGGCTTCGGAGAGCTTCATCACGTGTTGCTTTAACTCGTTGCGCCATGAGGGAGACCCTGCAAGGCAGATTTTGACTCCTGTCCTCGGCGCTCCACGCCGAGCTGTGTCAGAACCCCTACCCCCTCCACAGGGCACCCTGCAGAAGTTCGTGGATGACCTGTTTGAGACCATCTTCAGCACGGCGCACCGCGGCTCAGCCTTGCCGCTGGCCATCAAGTACATGTTCGACTTCCTGGATGAGCAGGCAGACAAGCATGGCATCCATGACCCCCACGTGCGCCACACCTGGAAGAGCAACTGGTGAGTGGGGTAACAGGGGTGCGTGGCTGACCCGGCCTCCCCTCCCTCTCTTCTTCCTTTCCCCTTGTTACAGGGGAGCCCAGAGCGGACTGGGCCGCCCATGTGTGGGGCCTCACCTGCGCGCTTAAAATTCAGTTGTACTGCAGGCACACACAAAAGGGTCAATAACGGGTTTATTTACAAAAGGGGGAAGGAACAGGAAACAACCCAGGGAAAGAGAGCGGGATACAAAGTAACTGGAATATCTTATGGCTAGGCTGACTGAACACACAGAGTCACCAGGTCAGGAGAGCCGTTTCCCGAGCAAGAGATGCAATCACACCCTATTTATCCTCTAAAATCCCGGAGTTCCTGCTAGCTCTGCCCTTGGGTCCTTGCAATTCTCTCCCTGGTACTGCTGGGAGTTGTAGTTTCCAATCACTGGAGTAGGGGGGTAGAGACCACAAGACCCTGCAGAGTTCCTTTAGGACATCCTTCCCCTTAACAAAATGGCACCCTATTTATCCCCCAATGTCCCAGAATTCCTGCTAGCTCCACCCTTGGGTCCTCGCACTCTCTCCCAAGCACTGCTGGGAGTTGTAGTTTCCAATCACTGGATTAGGGGGTGGAGTCCAGAAAGCTGGAGTAGGGGGTGGGGACCACAAGACTCTGCAGAGTTCCTTTAAGACATCCTTCCCCTTAACACCCTCAGTTAACAGACGTGCATAGAACCAAGTAAAGGAGCAAAAAGTAACCCACCAAGGGTCGTGGCCAGCCTTCTCTGGTACCTCCAGGTGCTTGACACGCAGGTCCACGGACCCTGCCGGGCAAGGCCCAGCCCCCCGTGGGCTGACAGTGGGTGAGAGACAGCAAGGCAGCCGCTGGTGCTGTGTGGTGGAGGCCCGGGTAGAGGAGGCGTGGCCATGGGGCCGCAGAGCACGCACAAGAAAGCTCTGTCCTGTTTGAGAAGCAGTGATGTTCCTTTCCCAGGCTCCCTCTGGGGTGAGACCTTCTTCCCCTCCCTCCCTTGTGTGTCCTGGAGACAAGACCGTCTGCGCCCTCCCTGGTCCTCCTGAGCTTCTCTGTGATCCCTCTCTCCTTCCGCGGTATCGTCCTCTCCCATGTTCTCTCCTGTGCATCTGGGGCTTCCAGTTGACACTACCAGAATACATTCGTATTCAGCACTTGGCACGAACCTCACACAAAGCTGGGGCTCGTTAACTGCCCGTGAAGATGGGGCCCAGGTTTTCTCCTCTTGCAAGATCTACCTTGGGCTCGGCCTTCCTCCGACCCACCACGGAAACGCCTCCTTCTGGCTTTAAAACGGTCCCTGTCCCCAGCTGTTCTTCCCCAGATCGTTCTCCCAAGGTGGCTCAGGCTGCTGCCCAGGCTCTGCCAACTGCTAGGGCTGGCTCAGCACTATGGCACCACCTGGGAGCTGGACAACCAGTCCGGAGCCCACAGTCCAAATACAGATGAAGATGCAATGAGCTTGCAGAGCTCACACTATTCTGTGCAGCTCGTGCTGGCCTGTGCCCTGCCGCTGAAGGAGAACGGCAAACCCAGGGCCTGACATTGCAAACCCAGGGCCTGGACCACAGAACGAAGCCGGGGTGCCTGCTCTACCCACCGTGGTAAGCCACTGTGGAGTCCTTCCGACCGCTCTCAAGTATGACTCTTAGAATCTGGGTCCTCGTTCAGTGGCAGCACTGGGCCACACCCCTCCCTTCCAATGCAGGGTTCCTCAGGTCAGGTCTCCCCCAGCACCTGCCTCTGGGCGTGTCCTACTGTGTCTGCTTCCTCCTCACCACCCCATTTGATGTCAGCATCCTGCAAGATTTATGAACTGCCTGCCCAGACTTTCTCAGTCCTGGTAGCAGAGCTGGTGTTTCCAAAACACCCCTCCCTGCTCTTGAAGCCCATTGCAAGCAGAACCACTGAAATGACATTTGTTCTCAGCCTGCACCTCCCTCCTGCTGGGCAAGCGCTCCCCCAAGCTGTCCTTGGGGTGAGAGCAGATGTTCCCTCACACAGCTCTCCCGGGTCCACGAGTGTCAAGCGGACACTTCCAGTTCCACTGGAGCAAGGTGTAGACACAGATACCACGTCCAGCTTTCTCACCACAGGATGCTCCTTTGACCCCGAAAGTTCTGCCCAGACACAAGCAGTTAGTCCAGTAATTACGAGTCTGCCTATTGACTTGGCGCTAACTGTCCTCCAAGCTAATTGATTTGATTGAGGTTTGATGGAGTTGATTGAAAAGAGATGGTCTTTATTCCTGGTCAGAGTTTTAACTCCCCTTCTCCCCACCCCCTTCCCACACCCCCTTTTCTCTTCTCTTTTAAATAAACCTCCTGCTCATTTAGCCTGAGTGGTTGCAATCAACCAGAGATTAGTGCCACCACTAATGTTAATAATATGCTAATATTTCATTAGGCAGGAGCCTTGGTGTGCCGCCCTGGTTGATGTGCCTGTCAGCACACTGGCGTCAGGAGGGGGACAGTCAGGGAGGACAGCCAGAGCAACCAGCACGGACCCCCAGAGCCCCTCTTTTGGGTGGGGCTTCTGCAGAGAAAGATTGGCCCGAGACCTCCGCACCTGGGCAGCCAGGAGCC